CTATCGCAACAATCACGCGCCTTTCTCAAGACCAGAAAGTCATTTAAGATTCTGTGTTTGGTCAATGTAGGTGATTGCTTTGCGATCAGCCCGACTTGCGCCATGACTAGCTGTACAAAGCAGTAAAATTGCTCACAAATTCTTGTTTTGCTCGCAAGCATTGCCCTGCAAAGCGCAATCTGCCTTCATGTAAGGTTGTAGAAATATGAGTCCATAGAGCTATGATTTAGTTGAAAGTTGTTTCGAAGAGATATTAAACATAGCTCTAACTATTCGAGTGTAGAGTCCATCGACATTAGACTCGTGTGTTATTTAATATCTAAGCCATGGCACCATACATTAAAACCGCATCTACAGTGGCTCGAAAGCATCTCCGCTTGAAGTTGTCTGGTAGATCAGATTTCCGGATTACACCCGTTTTATTCAAAGCGGCCCAGGGTCTTAGCTATGCAAATTTTCACGTCCTTTTTAGTAGAATTCATCTTGGTTACTATGTATTAAAAGATTTGTTAGACTTTATTGATTCACCTGATACAGGTTGTATTGAGTATTTCGAGTAATACTCTATTTTGGGGCTTTGTATTAGGTGAACACTAATATGAAAATTAATGAGATATACTACTTTCCAGGCTTGAGAGTTTAAAAGCGTTGAGTCTACATTGTAGGCGACTAATTACTTTCTGCCCTACGATGCTTACCTACACAAAACTTTTGCTGCTCTATCGTTATTTTAATGGAAAAAATGTTCAGAAGAGCTACGCTCATTAGCATCACCAGTCCAGGAATGCACAGTTAATAACCAACATGTAATTTATACTAAAACAACGTGCTAATTGCAGTTGCCGTTGTAAAAAGAAATCGTAAGTGAGTGACACGTATACAAAAAAAAAAAAATACCCTCTCTGATGTCAAAAGGTACTGGTGGCGCCAGGGGTGGCAGTACCGCATTAGTCACCGAAACTGTGTTACCTCCCCTGGTCGGCGGCTGACGATGGCAGTGTATCGCACATGCTTTCACACGTATGTAGAGAACAGAATGTATTATTCTGCATATATCTATTTTAATATATATTTTAAAGTAGAGAATTTTCTCAGCTCTAAATCAAATATTTTAGTGAGCGTTGCTCAAGTAGATCATTCTCGAAATGTAGATCCCATAACACTGTTTTTTTTTGCCCATGTAAAGTACCAAATGTAAAAATGTGGTCTATCTTAAAAAAAATTATCTACGTGCGCTGTCTAATTGTTGAGAGTCTGGTTTGCCTGAACGGGGTTAGCATTGTTTTTCTTTTTTTTAAGTCCACCACAGTGACAACTATGCATGCAACACAAGGGTAATTCCGAGGTTAAACACATCTGTTTACCTTCCTTTCTACGCCATTAGTAACGGTCCTCTACGAGCGCGTTGTGTTTTTTAACACAACGTTGAAAATTCAGTCAATAAAAATTCAGTGAAATTCAATGAAAATTCAATGAAATTCAACGTTATTGAAAATTCATTGAAATTCAATGAAAATTCAATATTATTGGGAATTCAATGAGAATTCAATGTTATTGAAAATTCTATAAAAATTCAATGAAATTCAATGAAAATTCAATGAAATTCAATGAAAATTCAATGAAAATTGCAGTTGTAGAAAAGAAATCGTGAGAGACTGACACGTATGCAAAAACAATACCCCCCTGCGGTGACTAAAACTGCTGGTGGCAACAGGGGCAGTACCGCCTTAGCCACAGAAACCGTGTGACCTCCCATAGACTGTCAAGGCCAGGGTATGACCAAGAAATATTAATGCTCCATCCACACAATCTTAAAATCTTAGGATCAACTGTTTTCTATCCTACATAACCTGGCTATCGCTCTATCTTCGTATGAACTTATAAAAACAAATCTAGTAAACTCTAGCTTGATTGGCTCTTGAGCCTTGCATTAGGTGAATAATAATATAAAAGAATTAAAGAAATATTATCCTATTTCTTTCCAGTACGAGTAAACTACCAATAATGCTTTCAGATCTTGGAACGGCGCGAACTTTTAACCCTTCACGATTCAGCACAATGCCAACATAATACGAAGTAAAGATAGAATAAATTTATTCACATACAATGGAAACTTTATATAAAACTGTTCAGCAGTCTGGATTTTCTGATACGAAACTATCAGATTTTAAGAATAAATATCACGTTTTCCCCCTAAGTAATAACACAGACGAAACAGTATCGGTTAACTTGGAGGGTCCCAGTCGAAATGAGCAAACTTCGCTTGCATACATTTATTGCTATCGTTAAGTGCAGTCCCCGGTGGGTTTCCAAACATTTCTGGATTTGCGTTCGGCAAAGCTAATCTTATTAAATATCTACGAAGGTGCCACGGCCCGACGCTGTGCATTGCAAATTCGTCTCGTATAGAAGTACTACAAGAAAGGACTAATCATTGATAACAGAAGATATACTCATCAGAAAGAAAGGCGACAAAAGTTACGAGTTGTATGAGCGAACTGAAGACAACAAAATCAAGTGCACCCTTGTGTAATTGAAACAAAATGAGTAAATACGTTATTATTTACTTTTTTCTTATTTTTCCAATGAAACATGACCCATTACATATATTAGTACTTCGTATGTCCATTCTACAAATTCGTTCCTTGCAGATTAACCACAAATTCTTGATTGGATTTAAATCAGGAGAGTTGCCGTGCCAGTCGATAACACTTTGATTTGCTCACTGGTAAGGCTTGCCACTCTGTTCGTGCAACCTTACAGTTTTCCTACGCTTCCTGTCTCTTAATACTCTGCTTAGCTTTTGGAATTCATTTTTGACCCTTTGATATGCATTGTCGCACTTTCCGTCTTCTGTTCGGACACTTCCTAGATATCTAACTTTTTTTACCGAATTATGGCTTGATTTTATTTCGGAAATATAAGATTTTAAAAATCTACATAATCTAAATTTCTACATTATAGTTGGCATTAAGCAACTCTGATTAATTACGTAGAATCACTAATGCACTCTTGTGCAAATTAATTGAAACAAAACGAATAATTCTGTTATTATTTACTTTTTTTCTTATTTTTCCAATGAAAACGCACCAGTGCATATGTTAGTACTTCGTATGTCCATTCCACGAAGTCGTTCCTTGCAGATTGACAATAGATTCTCGATTGGATTTAAATACTGAGAGATTCCGCGCCAGTCTATAGTACTTTGATTTGCTCACTGAGACAGTTTGCCAGTGTTCAATTTTCGTATTCCCCCACGTATTCCCAAGAGAATGTTATAGAAATTATAAAAATGTTATAAAAATATATAAAAAAAACCCAGAGCTGTTAAATGGCGAATGAATTCCACAGAGTTAACAGTCATCCAACCCACCTACACCCTTGTGCAAATTAATTCACTGCCATGTAGATTATAGCATTCGTGTACATAGCATTTGTTATATTCAGTGATAAAACGATATACATCCTTGTTCAAATTAATTCACTGCCATGTAGATTATAGCTTTCGTGTACATAGTATTTGCAGTATTCAGTGATGAAACGATATACACCCTTGTTCAAATTAATTCACTGCCATGTTGAGGATAGCTTTCGTGTACATAGTATTTTTAGTATTCAGTGATGAAACGATATACAGCCTTGTTCAAATTAATTCACTGCCATGTTGATGATAGCTTTCGTGTACATAGTATTTTTAGTATTCAGTGATGAAACGATATACAGCCTTGTTCAAATTAATTCACTGCCATGTTGATGATATCTTTCGTGTACATAGTATTTTTAGTATTCAGTGATGAAACGATATACAGCCTTGTTCAAATTAATTCACTGCCATGTTGATGATAGCTTTCGTGTACATAGTATTTTTAGTATTCAGTGATGAAACGATATACAGCCTTGTTCAAATTAATTCACTGCCATGTTGATGATAGCTTTCGTGTACATAGTATTTTTAGTATTCAGTGATGAAACGATATACAGCCTTGTTCAAATTAATTAACTGCCATGTTGATGATAGCTTTCGTGTACATAGTATTTGTTGTATTCAGTGATAAAACGATATACACCCTTGTGCAAATTAATTGAAACAAAACGAATAATTCCGTTATTATTACTTTTTTATTTATTTGTAGAGCGTTACAATTTTCGTACGCTTCCTTGGCGTAACGTCCACCGCAGACAATGGCTGTAGGACAACTAATCAACAGCTGAGACAATAGTGACTGGGCGTGATAAAAATCTGATGTATTCACGGATGACGCAAAATTGTTCAAGGCCAAACAAATTTTATCACCCACCCCGAAGATAGATTCATATTACAGCATACCACTGCAAATGACCTAATCTGAGGAAATGAAAGAAATCTATTCCACCTTGTAAGTTCGGTGGGTCTAAAAAGGAAACTAAAGCGGTTGTTTCAATTTGCACAAGGGTGTAGGTACAGACGTTCAACTGCTAGTGTACTTTAATGGCAGACGCGGGGAAAGTGTGACACAGAGATCCGAAGACATATTAAAGAAGCGAAAGGATATTGGTAATGGGTCTTTTCTGTAGGTCCTCAGATTTCATCCAAATTTTTACCAGTTGCTAACCTTCAACAGACTAGTTGATCATGAAGATTTTGTACATTATTTAAAGCTGAAACACATTTTTGTTCTGTGAGAATAATACTTCTTTGAGACTGAATATTATATTAATATACAAGTCCTACTATTTAACCCACAGCTGGGGGAGAAAATGGATTCATGTCATTCCCAAGGTTATTTGCACATGAGTATAATGAAACCAACTAGAGTAGCAGCTCGGATCTCCGATTAACAATTTTTGGAACCATTATCTATTACATAACCCAAACATCCAACCCAACAGTACTCGGTATTCCTTAGCTTGGTGTTGACCAGATTCAACGTTGCTTAACTTCGGTGATCGTACGAGAAGCGGTGTTTATACGTTATATGACTGTAAGTCCATTATATAAACCCCACATCCAAGCTTACTCAACTTGGTATTCTGAAGCGGTCACTCATCTAAGTACTGACCAGACTTGGCATTGCTTAACTTCGGTGATCATACGAGAACCGATGTTTCAACGTCATGTGACTGTATACCTGGATTAAACGCAGAATGAATTAAAAGAAAGAAAAAATATTGAAACCAAGAATGCAATAATTAGTTTGGTTTATTTTGTTTTACGGCATATCGACACTTCAATGGGTTATTTAATGCCAACAATATTTTTAGGATAGGTTCGTATGAATGGAATATGTATCGTTTGTAAGAAATCAGTTTGTAGATCGGGTTTCGGTGAGGTGTTTTTGTAAAGAGGGGTTTTGTCCATTGTATTGTTGGTAATATTTAGTATGAAAATCTATTTCTATGCTTTCTGCTGTGGTAGGATCCACCTAATTTGCATAGTGGAGTACCGACCATATAAATATGGTTGGTACCGGGAAGAGAGGGAGGAATCAAGAGATTTAACCAGAGACTCTGCCCGACTGCGACTCAGTCAACACATTCTCCAGGAACGGTCTTACCAGGAATATGCAAAAGACTATATGTAAATATTGTGTACACTTTCTTGTTTCAATACATTTTGTTCTAAGTACATTTTGTGTTGCATTATTATTCCATGCATTATTCAAGTTTCAACACTTTCATAATGTTTTGACTCCAGATTGTGGGTAAACTATTTGCCCATAACTGGGACCATAACAGGTGCTACCACCCCGGCTCATGGTGGAGCTGGGAACAACAGCAGGTGGGTTCTAGCTCCTCAAAACATCCTGATCAGAGGCTTTGCTGCTGGATATAGTTTATCGTCAGACCTAGGACAGGAATGAAACGAAGAAAGAGGTAAAGACTATGGAAATAAACACTGAAAGGAAGATTCATTGATTTAACGAAGGAAAAAGAATGAATGAATACATGACAACGAATAATTAAAAACAGAAAAAATAACAAAAGGCGTGATTTTAAACAATATTGATGATTTTCTTTTTTAGAGTTCATCAACCTGTTATATGTTATTACTTGGTGCCGTGGCGTAATGGATAGCGGCTTCGAGTTCGAATTCCAGTCGAATCCATTACATTCACTTACATGCTAATACTCTTCGGAAAGGTAGTAATCCTCTTCTCCTGCCAGCTATTGGTAAATAGCAGGGCAGACCGGTTTCTAAAGCCTTGGACGGCAACTGGTCCACTGCAGAAAGAAATGGCAACCTACTGCGGAAAAAAAATCTGCCTCGCCAGTCATGTATCAAAAGATACATGATAGCCTAGGAGTGTATCACGTATGGCACATAACTGACTGAATGCGGAATCGGAGAGCCGAGTTCGAATTCCAGTCGAATCTATTACATTCACTTACGTTCTAATACCCATGGGAAAGATATGAATCCTCTTCTTCTCCTGCCAGCTATTAGTAAATAGCAAAGCAGACCGGGTTCTACAGCCTTGAATGGCAACTGGTCTACTGCAAAAAGAAATGGCAATCTACCGCGGGAAAAAATCTGCCTCGTCAGTTATATATCGAATGATACATGATCACCTAGGAGTGTATCACGTATGGCACATAACTGACTGACTTACCTGATTCCTCATGCTATTTTCTTATTTTTAAGGTCCGGGAAATAGAATAGTGTTGCCATATTTAGGCGGGAATTGCCCGGTTCGCACTTCTTGATAGGGTTCAGAAGCGTTTCAGAATCCTTGTTGGGGACGAATTACAATGGCCTAAGAAAGGTTTTTAGCCAGGAGAAATAAACTACATCAAATTTCATAATTTAATTATGTAATCCCTACTCAACATAAACAGTATTCGGAACTAGTATAGATGAGGTCCTCCATTTGCTAGTTTCAGTCCTTGTATTCGATTTTTCATGGATTTGATCAAGTTATCAACAATACTCTGAGCCATATATTGTCACTCCTTTAGCAATGTTTCCTTTAAGGGTTGCTACTGACGTGATTTTGGTTGCGCGCTCTCGAAGTCTTCGGTGTAGGTGCACCCAACCGTGCTCAAGATTTTGTGTTACCTATGGTAGAGACTTGATTCCTTGCGATTCCTTCCAGGCCTTTGCTACTTTGCGCGTATGACATGTTGCTCCATCTTCTTGAAAAAGGTAGACATTCTTGTCAATCTGATTGGTTTCAAACAGTGGGAGTAGTCCTTTCTCTAATATTTGACAGTATTTTGAACCATTCAACCGCTCGTCAACAGGAATCAGCTCAGATTTCCCTCCAGAGCAGACAGCTCCCAACACCATTACTCCAATCCTTCCATGTTTCACGGCTGCCTGCAGACATTCAGTGTTCCAAGTCATATTCTGATTTCTCCAAACATAAACCAATCTCGAATTAGAATATTGGCAGAATTTACTTTCATCTAACCAAATTACAGACTGCCAAAATTCATAATCTTTGATCTCGAATTCATTTGCACAGTCCATACACCTGTTCCTGTCAACCACTGAAATCAAGGGCTTCTTTCTTGCAACACTTCTTTGATAGCCTAGCTCTTTCAGAGTCTTTCTTACGCATATGTAGACATTTTCATGCTGTAGGCGACATCTATGAAGCTTTCACGACGTTTCTGATGACTTCCATCTTCAGCGCCCTTTTCGTTCACTCGGACACGATGTTTGCTCTTCCTGAAAGTTGTTCCACACGACAATGGCTTTCTTCATTAAATTTCTTGGTAATAATATAAACCGTTTGATGATTCAACTGGAAAAACCTAACAATATCTCTATTTGATTTGCCACACTGATGCTATTCTATTATTTGCCCTTGATGAAATTCACGAATTTCCTTACCTCCGCGAACTTCCATTGCAAAATATAAGTCAACTATTGTTCATAGTTGAGAGTAGCTTGATACTAACACGGTATGTCTGAAAAAAAAGAAGATACGTTATTACTCAAGCCAAAATTGTTGTAATTAAGAGTGGTTAAAAAATTATCATAGCCCACTGTTTATTCCACCCTCTTTCACAGGCGAGGGGTGCCGAGTTTATCCATTCTCTATCGCTACTTCCATGGAAAGTGCCCGGACTAGCTACATTGCTTGGTTCCATCAGGTCGAACATTCACGGCTAGGACCCGCCATACCACTTACATAATAGCAAGCGACCCACATTCCCATCGTATTCTTCCGGCGAGAAGTTCTACTCAAACAGCTTCTTCCCGTGAAGTGGTCTTCCCTGTGGATTAGGGTCCCAAGTAGATGTTTCCCCGATCACTACAATCTTAACCTGTTCAAGTCTAGAGTCGACCTATTATCTTCCCCTCATATGCATATAAAATAGTCCTTAATGTTTTGTCATACCGAACCGTTATTCTTTGCATCATAAGCTCAAACAAGCATACATCACCGCGTATTCCCAAGCGGTCTCCCATCTAGGTACGGACAAGGTTCTGACGTTGCGTAACTTCGGTGATTGGACGAGAAGTGTTTCAATATGATATTGCCAGAAGCCATATCAAACAATAAGATACTGCAGGACGCCGTATAAAACAATATGATACTACTGGAAGGCGTATAAAACAATATAATAGTGACAGAAGCCGTATAAAAAATATAATAATACCAGAAGCCGTATAAAACAATATGATATTGCTTGAAGGCGTATATAACAATATAATACAACCGGAAACCGTATAAAATAATATAATACTACTGGAAGCCGTATAAACAATATGATACTCTCGGAAGGTGTAAAAAATAATATGATACTGCCGGAAGCCGTATAAAACAATATAATACCGCTGGAAGGCGTATAAAAAATATATTACTGGCGGAAGCCGTATAAAACAATATTATACTGCTGGAAGCCGTATAAAACAATATGATACTGCTGGAAGCTGTATAAAACAATATAATACTGCCAGAAGCTGTATAAAACAAGAAAAAGAAATATCAAGAGAAAGGCAAGAAGAAAGAGAATCTTTTTTTTTATAATGAAAGAATCTTAAAAGATAAAAATAAAACGCAAATATTGCAGTGGACGCTGAACTATCTCACGGAGACAAGAAGAAGATACTTGAAGCAATATAAATGTGGTTCTACAGAAGGATGCTGAGAATACCATTGGTCGAACATGTGAGCAACGACGAAGTTTTCGAGAATGTGGAAACAAAAAGGACAGGAACGCTTAATATAAGAGACAGTTGAAATTTCCAGGGTACATTATGAGGAAAGAAGGCTTAAAAAATTTGATACTCACAGAACAGATTGAAGGCAGAGGGACGTAGAAAAACAACACATCATCTATGCAACATTTATTTATTTACAAAAGACAGGTTATTGTGGAGAGCCATGACTGTCTACGTCCTGAAGAGACAAGTCACATCGGAAGAAGAAGAAGAAGAAGAAGAAGAAGAAGAAGAAGAAATTCTGTCGTATTCAATAAACAGACCAAAGTCGAAATGGTCTTTATGGAAAATTATTAAATATTCTCTGTCAAATGAATAAATAAATTACACTTTAATACTCGGCGTTCTTTACTGACCACGCCTCCCGGACCCCCACGACTAGCAGTGGAGAGTTGCATGACTTTTTTTTTTCTTTATTTGATCGAAGACAGATCGCTTGATCATTTTTCAAAGCCAATGCGAACGACGTGACAGCAAACAGATTAAGAAACGTGTTCTATGGAGATTACATGTCAGTGTACACAACTAATGGCTTCCCGTCAAAGAATATGAAAAGAATTGACACACCTCCTTGATGTATGGGTTAGCAAAATCGACACTTGCTTTCGTTTTCCGAATGCTATCACCAAAGTCTTTGGCTGTCTTTGTGTAGATGGTATATTAACACATATATTATTATGAACGAAAGGATTTAAAGCTTCCCATAGCGTCGATTCCTTGACTGGAACAAAAGTAATATATACATAAATGTGTGTGTAAAATTGCTGATATAATTATGAATGAATCTGTGAGAAGGACAATATGGATAAAGTCAAAAAAAAAAAAAATTAGCCGACTCGCTACGTTCTTTGATGGCCTTTATTAAGGCAATTGCAAGAATTTTATTTTGCAACAATAATTTATAGACAAAAATACAATTTCAGTTCTTTATAAATTTA